CAAGACTCAGGAAATCCTCCAAAGAACCTATTGGTGGCCCACTCTTGCGCATGACGTCAGTGAATACGTCACTGGTTGTGCAACTTGCCAAGAGAACAAGGTCATCACACACAGGAACTCACCAGATCTAGTACTCATCACCACAGAACACCACCTCCCATTCCAATCTATTGCCATGGACTTCATCATGGATCTACCTCAGAGCAATGGTTTTGACAGTTGCCTGGTGGTCCTGATAATGAGGAGTGTAGCGAGGATGGTGATGGATGCCATTGGAGATGCAGAGGAAGAGTAGTTCTTATAAGAGGTCACTCTTTGTTTGGTTGCAGGAAGTCTGCCAAAGTGTCTTTGGCATATGATAGTTCAGTTTTTGGCAACCAGGAGTCATCTGAGGCTGGGTATCCTTTCCACCAGACCCAGTACAGTGTTCACTTGCCAACTGTTTTCAAATCAATGATACGTTCAATTTCAAACTCCTCCTGGTTCTTGATGAGTTCTGGTGGAGGTTGAAGGTCATTCTTTCTGTGCATTGTTGTTTCCGAATAAGGATAGAGTAGTCCTGTGTGAAACACAGGATGAATCTTCCATTTGGGTGGTAGTTTTAAGTGGTAAACCACTGGTGACAGTTTCTGATCAATGGTGAAGGGTCCATAGCACTTTAGTCCAAGTTTTGCTTTTGGATGTAACCCCTTGAGGTTAGTTGCTCCCAGCCATACTTTCTGTCCTGGTGAGTGTTCAATGAAGTTGCCCTTATTCCATTTCTTGACTGTTTCTTCTGCTAGTTGTATGCTGGATTGGATTTCCATGCACAGGTGTGCTAGCTGAGTAAGTCTAGAGGCAATGTCTGGGGCATCAGTTGTTCCCACAGTGGGAATATTATGCCAAAGTTGGTAACCCATGAGTGCTTGGAAGGGTGATATTCTGATTGCATTATGATATCTATTGTTATGCACAAACTCTGCCAGTGGCAGATGATGCATCCAATCTGTTGCTCAGTGATTGCAAAAGATCCGAAGATATAATTCTAGGTCTTGATTAAGCCATTCTGACTGTCCATCAGTTTGAGGATGAAATGTGCTAGAGATGTTCTGTTTGATGCCTAGTTTGGTGCATAGTTCCCTGAACATTTGTGATGCAAACTGTGATCCTCTGTTGGAGATAGCTTTGATAGGTAGTCTGAAGCATCAGAAGACATGATTCTGATACATGGTAGCTGTTAAGGGACCTGACGACTGAGGATCAGGAGTTCCACTTAAGACTACTACTGACAAAAGGTACTGCTACACATAAGGCTGACGTGCTATACTAGAACTAGACTTAGAGACTGAGCCACTGCAACTGGCAGTGGTTTGAGAAAGTATACTGATTGAAGCAACACTTCAGACTGAGACTGGAATAGACAG